TATCACGGGGGCACAAGGAGCACAACCAACACCTAAGCTGTGGTACATGTGGCACCTCTACACAGGGCACGTGGAAACCATGCCAACACTGTAAATACCCTCATTCACAGCACCTGCCACTTCCAGAGGTGTAAACACTGTTACCAAGGGACATCTGCAAGTTCAGTATTGACTCTGAAGAGTCAGTATGTACACATACACAGTTTCAAGATTCTTAGATTTTTTTTGCTTTTTAAAATTTACTTAATTTGGGCTGGAGAGATGGCTCAGAGGTTAAGAGCACTGGTTGCTCTTTCAGAGGTCCTAAGTTCAATTCCCAGCAACCACATGGTGGCTCACAACCATCTATAATAGGCTATTCTGCCCTCTTCTAGCGTGCAGCTATACATGCAGAGCACTCATACATAAAATATAAATAAAAACTGTTTTTAAAATGTACTTAATTTTATGTGCATGAATGTTTTGCCTGCATGTATGGATATGTAGCACATGTGTGCCTGATGCCCAAAGTGGTTAGAAGAGAGCAATGGATTGATTCCCTGGAACCGGAGTTAGGATGCTTTGAGTCATCATTTGGAATCAAGCCTGGGTCCTCCTAAAGAACAGCCTGTGCTCTATACTGCTGAGCTATCTCTCTAGCCCAGATCCTTACATTTTATCAAGATATTAGCTCAAAGTAGAGTCTGAAAAGTGAAAGGTGCACACTACACTTCCTCCGACTCACCCACTGCCTATAGAAACTGTGAGAGCAATGTCCCTCACTCCCAAATCCCAGCCTCATTTTCTTTAGGGAAAGTGAGGAAGCAGTCACTTGCATAGTTTTATATGTCCTGGGGTTCAAAGGAGAACTGCTGAGGAAGGCTGTGAGTAGACTGCTTAGAAATGTCCTAACACGCCGGGCGGTGGTGGCGCATGCCTTTAATCCCAGCACTCGGGAGGCAGAGCCAGGCGGATCTTTGTGAGTTCGAGGCCAGCCTGGTCTAGAGAGCGAGATCCAGGAAAGGCGCAAAGCTGCACAGAGAAACCCTGTCTCGAAAAACCTAAAAAAAAAAAAAAAGAAATGTCCTAACACAATTTGTGCAAGGCCCAAGGGTTGATTTCCAGCACTGCAAAAGAGTAACAATGACAATAATAAATTAAAACCACAAAGTACAATAATAAGTACAGTAAAATAAAACTGTGTGTTCCGGGGGGTAGACACTCACTGCAAAACTCTGAACTCTGCTGTCTGTCCTCACAATGAGGCCCAAATGCAGAACCAGGAATGTCCCATGCACTTAGGCTTCTTATTGTTGCTACACTGTGATACCCATGAATCTCAGGAGAGGTAACACACTGTTGTGGTTTCAGGAGTTAGTTTTTAATCTTCAATTACTGTCTTGTTAAAATTCATGCACAGATTTTGAGTTTCTTTTTTATTAAAAGTCCAAGAATGATCTGGGCATGGAGGTGCACGCCTTTAATCCCAGCACTCGGGAGGCAAAGGCAGGTGGATCTCTGTGAGTTTGAGGCCAGCCTGGTCTACAACAAGAGTTCCAGGTCAGCCAGGGCTACACAGAGAAACCCTGTCACGGAAAACAAAAAAATAAATAAGAAAAGCCCAAGACTTTTGAGGTTCAGGCTCTCCCCACTTCCCCCGAGACAGGGTTCTCTGTGTAGCCCTGGATGCCTTGAAACTCTCGTTGTAGACCAGGCTGGCCTCAAACTCACAGAGATCCACCTGCCTCTGCCTCCCAAGTGCTGGGACTAAAGGTGTACACCATTACTGCCAGGCTCAAGGTTCAGTCTTTAAGCTGCTCTTCATCATGATAACATTATACAACAAAGTCATAAGCCTCAGTAGCACAGAACCAAAACACTGCTCAGGCTGAAATATTCCATTTTGTCTGATGGTGTAAAGTTGCTACAGACATAAATTCTTTCAAGTCTATCATTTTTAAGAGTGCAAAGAACCTTAGTTCAGAGATATTTCATATCTGCAGTTTAATCAAGGTGACAGAACCAGCCCTCCTTCACTGTTTTGCCAGAGACAGACTCCAATTCTAGCTGTGAAGGCACAAACCTCCCACACTGAGCATCACTGGGGGGTGTTTCCTCTTATACTCCTGACCCTTTGGCACCAGTAACAACTGGCACAGGGACTGGGACCTGAGACAAGTTATCTTTTGTACAATGGTCCCCAACCATGGCAGGGAAGGAGGGAGGACAACCATTCACCAGGCCTGTGGACTTCCTACACCAAACCAAGACCTCTGCTCCTACACAGAAAGGTAAAAAACAGCACCAGGAGAAAGTGCACTTTGGCACCAACACCTTCACTCTCCTAACACTCTCTTCATCCCCACAACACAGGTTTGTGCCTCAGGAGCTCACCTATGACTTCAATTTCATCTGCAAAGTGGGGTGTATTACTCCTGGGAATAAGGGATTCAGTTCCATGATCCCAGGTCACTGAGAGCTCTGTGAGAGAGTGGGAGTACAGATGCTTTAGGAATGCTGCCCAAAGCCTGATCACTCTGTAAGTTCCATCATATTGCTGTAAGACTTCTAAGACAACAGAGAAAATTGAATAGAACTTCAGACTACAGTGACCACAGACCAATGTCTGGCACAGAGGAAGGGACCATGAGAAAGGTACTGAAAATTCAGCTAGCTTGCCTGCCTATGCTGGACAGAAGAAACTCCTGGTGTTGGCTGGTGATGAGTGGCGGGATGCTGGACTGGCTAAAAGTGGGCAGCATGGTCTTACAGGACAGTCTCCCTGGTGTGCTCCACCACAGCCAGTGCCACAGCTGCTCAGCCTTCATCCTCCTCAGCACTAAAGCACACAATCAGAGAACAGCAGACAACAGCCATGTTTTTCAATTATACCCAGAGGCTGGAGAGGTTTCTCAGCGGTTAGAGCACTGGCTGCTCTTCCAGAAAACCTGGGTTCAGTTCCTAGCACCCATGCTCACAACTGTCTCTAACTCCAGTTCCAGGGAACTGATACCTTCATCTGGCCTCCAGAGACACGACACAGACATGGCACAAACATACATGCAGGCAAAATACCCAGACACATAAAACATAAATCTTTGAGAAAAAAAAAAAAAGAAAGGAAAGGAAAAAGAAATGATACCCCACAACCCAGGGTCTTGGTTATGTCTCAAGAAAAAGCACTATGGCATAAGGCGGATGCCCTGCTTGGTCTGGAGGGTGCTACAGAAAGGAATCAGCCCTCACAAGAGGCCCTGCTCTCAGCTGACTCTCTCCAGTAGGCAGCCTTGCTCTCCAGGTGCTAATTCCAATCTGGTGGGACAGTCAACAGAGGGACAGAGTCTCCTGCATCACATGCATTGTGATCTTGTAGCTAACGCCAGGTGGAGAACAGGTTTCCCAGGATTGTTGTCGCCCACTGCTCTCCACTGTGCCATGGTCTTAAGACACAGATGTGGCACAGTGGCAAAGAAGCAGACCACCTAGAGGGGCAACCTAGCAGAGCAGACAGCACTCCACGTAGAGTAAGCATAGGCCTTTAAAGCAACAGCATGGAATGCACCTGTGAGAGAAAAAGCTGATGCTTGAGACACAAGAGATAGAGAAGGGCAGAAGGACCAGCTCAAGTTACAGAAGGCACAGACACAACTGTGAGTAGCCAAGCAAAGCAACTCATTAGTAGGGATAGGCAGCCTCCCAGGAGCCTCAAGGCACATGAGCAGCCAGGACAGACATCCCTGCCTAACTCTGCTAAGACCTGGTCCCACCAATAACCTCATCCAGTTTCAAATTTTGTGCCTGCCCAGGTGCTTCCTGAGTCAATCTGGCAGGAAGTCAGGAGGGCCAGGGTCTGTGATGAGAGGTTTCATCAGCTGCAGATCCATACTGAGCAAACCCACACTCCAATTACATTTTTTAAAATTGCACTTGTTCAGTGGCATGAGCAGTGTGGAACTTCACTGAGGCTGGTGGCACTGAGGGAGTGAAGACAGGAGTACCTGTCACCACACCAGCATGGAGTAAGTCTCAGGAGCCCATTTAGTTGGGAAAGAAGTGTTCTACAGCCCAGCTGCTTTAGATTCTAGGCTTTGTTCTGTTGTGAGGAGCAGAGGATATTTAAACCTTCCTTTTTTCTCCCTTAATAAACACCAGTATTTGATGTTTTTTGTTTTTGTTTTTTTGAGACAAGGTTTCTCTATGTAGCTTTGGAGCCTTTCCCGGAACTCATGCTGTAGCCCAGGCTGGCCTCGAACTCACAGAAATCCGACTGGCTCTGCCTTCCAAGTGTTGGGATTAAAGGCATGCACCACCACTGCCCGGCTAGCATTTGATGTTTATATTGCTGAAATGTGGTGGTGAGTTCCTTGGGAGAGTCAGAAAGACAACAGCACCCTCTGAGCATGCCTGATTGAAGGGACTCTGGTCAGCTCGAGTGTGGCAAACATTGGCTCTGTCAGGTCTTGCCTTTCTCCCTGATTCCCTCTGCCTTGCTAAAAATCATTAGATTACATCCCAAAAGCTAGCTCCTGAAGTCCATTGCCTTATTTGGCCACTTCTTCCTCCTGAGGCTGACTACCAAGGTCCAGCTGTCAAAGTGTTGAAGTCCAGCAATCAAAAGTCCCCTTTGGCTCACCTAATTAACATGCCCAATTAAAATTAAACACAGGGTTCCCCCTTGTACCTTTATAAACCACCATTTTCCTATATGCCACATCTGTCTCCTCTCTGTCCAGAGGCAGTCCTTTGTCCCCTCCAGGACCAATAGCCCTACCCCCTCTCCCTTGTTCCCTTCCCCTTCTCTCTCATCCTTTATCTCCTGTCTTTGTCTTTTATTCCCTGTCCTCTGTCCCTCTGGAGCAAATAAATCTCCTCTGTGCTGAGAAAACTTGGTCTTGGGGTCCTGAGCTGATACTTTTCCTTTCAATAATGACACTATGTCCCAACAGTCCACAGCTCTGTCCTGTGGATGCCTTCTCCCTGCACCTGGAATCTCCCACTAATGTCCAGCATAACTCACCCACCTTTGCCATGTTTTCCCAAAGGCCTCTTGGGCAGGGACTCCTCCGTGGAATGTGCTGATGTATGCAATGCATTCTCCAGACTGTTGCTGATGCTGCTGACAGGGGTCTCAGTTCTGGGCGCCATCTGAGGAGACAGAATATCATTCTCTTACTTTTTTTCTGCATGAGTGTCTCTTGTTGAAAGTTAATACACACAAACGTGGCTTTGAGTTTTCCTACCATAACACAACATCAGTTTTAGCCATGGTGGCATGTATCATATGCCTTCATCTGAGGCAAAACCCTGTTTTTACATCTTTAAATTAAATGCTTTCCTATAATGAATTCTGCAGAGCTCTGGAAGCCACAGAAAAACAGAGCACAGCACATCTGGCCAGGTAACAATTCCAACAATACATAAGAGACTCCTTCGGCAATTCCTCTTCTAGGGATTGTTGTGTAACACCTTCCTCCAAGATTGAAGCATTCCACCCTGAAGGGAAGCTCCTTGAGCAGGAAGGTAAACAACTCAAGATAGCTTCCGGAAGTGCCTGAAACTGACCAGATTCACTAGGCCCTTCCCTGCCAGAATGAACAATAAAAGCAGAGTCCATTCAGATGGAAGGTAGTGGGCAACACCAGCTGAGCTGCAAAGTTAACTCTCAGAGGGGAACAAGAAGACTCTGAGACCAGGACAGCTGAACAGCTGCCTGGATGAAGTAGAAACCAGCCAGAGCCGCCTGCAAGAGGTTTAGACCACTGAGGCATCTGGAATGGGCACTCTCCAACCTGTTGAGCTGCCTGCAGGTGTGCAGTGTGCTCCTGGTTCCCAACATTGTGAGCTGTCACCCATGCTGGGGTGGGCCTTGGTGATACAGTTGTCTTGGAGACATTTGTGCCCTTATAAGTAACCCCTCACTATATTCATGCAAGTAACCCCAATAAAACTCACTGGTTCACCAAATACATACTTTGGTCTGTCCTGGGATCCCCATCTAGGGTGAGATGTGTGTTGCATCTCCCCAAGAAAAGTTTTGTCACACAAAAGGATTCACCACATTAAATTTTTACACAGGAAGACCTGACACTGAAAACTTCATTATCTAGAGGCAGGGACCTGCTGATATAAGCCAGGGGACACCACAGCTAGACCGTGACACAGCCAGCCTCTGCTGTTGCTGGGTGTAAGGAGAAGGTTCTTATTATGTACACACACAGAACTGGGCCCACAGCCCTGGACAGCTGATTGGTCTTTGGGGAGGGGGTAGACTGCAGTATTCTCCATTTCCCCCTATAACAGTATTGGAAAAATTTACAGTCCAAATAAACTAGATATAAAATAAAAAAAACAGCAGTGCTTTCACTTCCGTCTTACTTAAGATTTCAAATATTAGCCGGGTGTGGTGGTGCACGGCTTTAATCCCAGCAGTCAGGAGGCAGATCTCTGAGAGTTCGAGGCCAGCCTGCTCTACAAAGCGAGATCTAGGACAGAAGTTGAGTAACTAGCAATCACTCTTGGTCCAGCCTTTAACTTGAGCAGTGAGCACTTGCGACATGCTTGCTCCTGATATCCTAGCCCTGTGCCCATGGCTTCCCATTGTTACCTGCCTGGTGGTGGCAGGTATCACTGGCTGTTCAGAGGCCAGACCCAGAGCCTGAGGCTCTGAGGTAGACAGGCAGTTGAATGAAGGCACAGACCACCACCAGTTTGTCAGAGTCACTCAGTAGAAGCCTGGTCAAACTGGGGTCAAGAAGGCTTACCTCTGACTTGGTGTGGTGGTGTACACCTTTAATTTCAGTACTTGGGAGGCAGAGGACGGTGGATCTCTTCGAGTTACAGGCCAGCTTGGCCTACACAGTGATTTCCAGGCCATCCAGTGCTACACAGAAAGACCCCAACTCAACAACACTAAAAGGCTTATTCTGCACCCCAGTATCCAGTAGAGCACAACAGATGCCTACAACAGTGTGCCACCAGCCAGTCTCTATGAACTTGAACAGAACTCAAGGAAACAAATCCTAGTCATTCATTCACTTTAGAAATACAATTCAGGGCTGGAGAGATGGCTCAGAGGTTAAGAGCACTGACTGTTCTTCCAGAGGTCCTGAATTCAATTCCCAGCAACCACATGGTGGCTCACAACCATCTATAATGAGATCTGACACCCTCTTCTGTATACTAAATAAATAAATCTTTAAAAAAAAAAAAAAGAAATACAATTCATTGTGGCTAACATTACCAAGAAGTTGTCAAGAAAGTTAAATTTTGGGGGCTGGAGAGATGGCTCAGAGGTTAAGAGCACTGACTACTCTTCCAGAGATCCTGAGCTCAATTCCCGGCAACCACATGGTGGTATACAACCATCTGTAACGAGATATGGTGCCCTCTTCTGGCCTGCAGTCATACATGCTGTATACATAATAAATAAATAAATCTAAAAAAAAAAAAAAAAGTTAAATTTGGGTCTTGAGGTGTTGGTAGAGTGCTTGCCGAGCATCCATGAATCCCTAGGTCTGATCCCCAGGCATGATGTTTCCCACCTGTAAACCTAGCACCCATGAGGTAGAAGCTGAAGGATCAAAAGTTCAGGGTTTCCCTTGGCTATACAGCAAGTTCAATGCTAACCTGGGCTACATGAAATTCTGTCTCAGGAAGGAAGGAAGGAAGGAAGGGAGGGAGGGAGGGAGGGAGGGAGGGAGGAAGGGAGGTCAATAAAGAGGGTTGGGTAAAACGGCTCAGTGGATAAAAACATTTGACTACTAGCCTGAGTTCAATCCCTGAAAACAAGGTAAAAAGAGAGGACAACTGACTCCACAGGGTTGTCTTCTGACTTCCACATGCATAGTGGCATGGAGACATGTACCCCTGTCATGCACACACAAGTAATAATAACAATAAAATATAATTATAAAAGACATAAAAGAATGTTAAATTATAAACCTGGCATTTTATATCTGCCTATAATCCCTGCACTTGGAAGTCAAAACAGGAGGATCCTGAGTTCCAAACTAACTGGACTACATCGCAAGCTGCCTTCAGTGTAGCAGGTTTTTTCATCATTCAATAGTTGAACATTAAGAACAAAAAATACCCATATCGGGAGACAAGATTCTCACCCAACTCTGTGAGCAGCTCAGATACAACCTCTCAGTATATGGCTACCAGCCACCAGCAGCCTGTCCCAGTTGTTTGACTCATACAGCTCCTGACTCTACATCCTGGTTCCAAGAGGCCATGGTGGTTCTGACTAGTCACAGGAAACCAGCATCCCCTATCACCAGAGGACCACTAAGCAAAACCCACTCCCCCACTCCAGCCTCCATGTGAAGGCAGTGAAGGGTGTGCTGACAACAGGTCTCACTAGGGTACCCTACACATCCAGGCCGGAGTCCTGCAGGGGCTTATCCTTGTGTGGTACCAGCTGCTGAGACCCAGGCTGAGGGAAGGACTACTTCACAAAGAATCAGCTTGCCCAGCTGCTGACTTCAGTAAGTGACAACAACAGGAAGCACTTCCTATGTCCATGTAGACATAGCCCAGAGCTGAGGGCTGCTGTCCTTAGGCCAGTGGCCAGGTCTAGGACAGGGCAAAGCTGTGAGCTGCCTGATGAAAACACACGCAGGGAAAAAAATGCCTTAAGAAGTGCTGGCCCAAGGCCAAATGTGTCTGCCTGTCTATCGGTCTGGTCTTCCTCCTCCTGCGTCCTCCTCTAGTCTCTTGCTCCGCTGTTTACATTGAATGCTGCCTTCAACTGCAATTCCCAGAAATGCTGTTTTAGGTTATTTTTGGTTAGGTTAATTTGTCCACATGACCCGCAATTCAACTCAGATATTCTGACTCACTTTCAGCCGAGCTGCAGTGGGCCTGATGTTCACATGTTGCCCTCCCATCCTGTGCAAGGCCTGTAGACTAAGCCAAGGCACTCCCTTCCCCAGCTCTTCCTGTTAGTCCAAATCCTCTCTGAGCAAAGCACCTTACTTTATTTCCAAGGAAAGGTCACAGGTTCTACTGTCCAACTAACTGTCCTTTTATCATCGTGGCCAACATTTCCAAGACCATCAGGACCTGTGGCACAGTCCACAGGGACCCAGATGGGCACCCCCATCTCATTTACCTGGCCCAGTGGACACAAAGTCCCTTCTATCAGACCTTGGCTCTGTGCTCCTTGTCCATATGGCTCCCTCAGTACCGCTCATCTTTATACAACTGCATTGCCAGCATTCAGCGAGGCATGGTTTTGTTTTGCTTTTTGTTGTTTGTTTCTTCTCCTGTGGGGCTGTTCTGTTCATGGAGGGATCCTCCACATGTACAAAAATGTTGTTGTCAAGGGTTAGGAAAAGGGCTAAGCAAAGGAGATTAGATTTAAGGTTCTTGTTTAAAAAAAAGAAAAGAAGGCCGGGCAGTGGTGGCGCACGCCTTTAATCCCAGCACTCGGGAGGCAGAGCCAGGCGGATCTCTGCGAGTTCGAGGCCAGCCTGGTCTCCAAAGCGAGTTCCAGGAAAGGCGCAAAGCTACACAGAGAAACCCTGTCTCGAAAAACCAAAAAAAAAAAAAAAAAAAAAAAAAAAAAAGAAAAGAAAAAAGAAAAGAAAAAGACAATTACCAGTTTTAAATACTTTACATTGGATTGGATTGTTTTATATTGTATACAAATTATATATATTGAAATGGATATTGTTAGAAAATGCTATATGTATATTTCTAATTGTACTTATACCGTTCATTTAACAATGTAATGCAATTTTCTGACAATGTAATGCAATTTTCTGATCTTTGAATGTTATTATTACCAACTATTAGGATATAAAGAAATGAAAGTTAATAGACATTATAATAGAACTTGTAGTCATATTAGGTATGTTTTAAAAATTGAGCAGATATATTTTAGATAGACAGGTCATCTTCAAACCCTTCAGAGATCTACAGAATATGGAATTTAAAATGTTTTAATAACTTAGAAAATTTTTCTTTTTTGTTTTTTAGAAGCACTAGGCATCTGTAAGACATCTGTAAAACATTCAGCTACAGCACCAAGTTCCAATGGCCCCAGTGGCACTGAATTCCAGGTGACGCTCTGTATTCCCATCTTGCCTGGCTGTCATCACTAGGGTCTCAGCAGCTCTGCTCAGGCACCAATAAGTTGT